GACATCGTTCATTTTTATAAACTATCGTCATTCTCTCAAATTCGACTTAATTAATATCTCGCATATATAGCATCCTCCTATATATATAAGCACACTTTGTTATGATTATATCCTTGTTCTTATTCTTATCCAAACATTGCTAACCCGTGATGATTGAGAAGAAGTTGGATGGTTGCTCCGAATAATAGGTGTCGGAGGAGTTTGGTCCTTCCCAAAAAGTTGAATAAGAATAGTGATACGTACACTTGCTTTAGGCCTAGCAATTTTTTAGGGCTCGAAAGTTATTATTTCATTTATTTCATTTTTAATTTTCAGTATATATGTGATTTTTAGAAATAAAATTATTAGTTGACTAAAGATGCACGTGTAATGCACATAATGCACATGATATGCACGTACAACGCACACAAAAACTAGTTTGATTGAATATATCATGTTTAATTGTTTGGAGAAAAATAAGAACAAGGATATAGTGCTTAGCTTTGTGAATATATCCTCCTTTTATATATGTGATTTTTAGAAATAAAATTATTAATTGACTAAAGATGCATGTGTAATGCACATAATGCGCATGATATGCACATACAACGCACAAAAAAACTAGTTTGATTGAATGTAACATGTTTAATTGTTTGGAGAAGAATAAAAACAAGGATATAGTGCTTAGCTTTGTGAATATATCCTCCACACATATATATATATATATATATATATAAACTCTTTGTTTTGATTAAATCCTTTTTCTTATTCATAAAGCTAAGCATTATATCCTTAGTTTTATTCTTATTCTTCTCCAAACAATTAAACATGACCATCTTCTCGTTCACTCTCTTGATTGTTTTTTCCTTAGCAATCACCCTCACCCAAATCTCACTTTTATTGAAAGCGAAGAAAAGTCTTGTGGATTTAGTATTGAGGTTATTGACCCTACTTCTAAGAATTCTATTGCTTCCCTTTCCCCTGAGTTGGTTTTTGGATCTTCTTGGCAGCTACTTAATAAATTTTTCAGTTGGAGCTCCACCAAAGTTTCAACTCGCTCTGTCTAATTCTAGAAGTTACATCAACGACATACAATACGAGTCATGTGTCCAGTGCTATTCCCAACATCTCCCTATATTTAACTCTTTAAACTCATCTACCTATAAGGCACTTCCTTGTGACTCTCCTAAATGCTTGCAAAATAAATGTTAGGGAAGCCAATGTACCTATGTCATGAGTTCTTTTGATCAAAGTTACCTGTATGGTGATTTAGATATGAAAATGTATACTTTCTACTCTTCACAAGGAGTTCAGGAAATTTAAAAATTTCTTTTTCGTATATTTGCTTTGGATGTACTCATAGATTCAAATTTGACAATACTAACCAACTGATAAACGACATTGTGGGCCTTCACATTTCTCCGATATCCTTAGTTTCGCAAATTAGTCCTACCTTTGGAAAAAAAATCGTCTATTGCTTTGTGCCTTTGGCACAATAAGATGTCTCAAGCATACTCACATTTGGTGAAAATGCTTGGGGGATTGAGAACTATTAACCCATATTAGTTCGATTAGACGCAATCTTGCTACCTCTTAGCCCTGCATGGGGATATTGGTTGGTGGTAAAATATTCAACTTTTTTTTTGTAATTCTCCAACTATTTCTCGAGAGGGAAAGACAAATTTATGTATGATGCAGTTCATTTTTATAAATTATCAATAAATCATTTACTCAAAGTTGACTTAATTAATGTCTGACATATATATCCTCCTCCTATATATATTTTTAATACACTTTGTTTTGATTATATCCTTATTCTTATTCACAATAGTAAGCATCATATCCTTGTTCTTATTCTTATCCAAAGAATTAAACATGTCCATCTTTTTTCTCACTCTTCTAGTTGCTTTTTCCTTAGCAATCACTTTCACCCAAACCTCATTTTTACCGGAAGCTGAAGCAAAGTCGATCTTAGTAAAGCCTTATAGATTTAACATTTAGCTAATCCATCCTACTTCTAAGAGGTCTCATGCTTCACTTTCCACTGGTTGGTACTCTCTTGATAATTACTTGATAAATTTTTATGTTGGCTACCCCCACCAAAGTTTCAACTCGCAGTGACTGATTTTAAAAATCATATTAACGGGATATAATGTCAGTCATGTGTATAATGCTACTCACAATATCTCTTTATATTCAGTTCTTTAAATTCTTCCACCTAAAAGACATTGTCTTGTGACTCTTCTAAATGCTTCTAGAATAACTGTCAGGAAGCCAATGTACCAAGGTTATCCAGAATAATAGGTTTGAAGTTTCTTTGAGGTAGTATATATGTAGCTTTTATAATAAAGTTGTTAGTTGACAAAAAAAAATGCATGTGTAATACACATAATGCACATGAGATACACGTATGACGCGCCCAAAAACTAGTTTTATTGAATATTCTTAAAACTCTTTATTAATGTTTGACTTTAAGTCACCAATTAATTTCATTCAATACATATGTTATTTTTTAAGATAAAAATTATTGAAAAGGGATGCACATGTGACATGCATAGGGTTTGACTTTAAGCAATCAATTTCATTGAAATTCATCTAGTCAAATCTTTCGCAAACTAATCCTGCGTTTGGACGAAAGTTCTCCTTATAGGCACAATAGATGTCCTAAGCGCACTCACCTTTCGTGAAAAAGCTTGGAGGAGTACTGGGGCACTATTCACCCCTATGACTGTAAAACCATCAGATCATGTTGATTACTTCAACAGAAAAAATTATAATTAGTGTTTAAGCTTATTTTTTATATCTTTTAAGACAAATTAATTTTTGTAATGGAGTCATATTTTAGATAAAAGTTGTATTCTTATTTTGAAAGGGATATATATATAATATTCTATTAATACATCGTTTAATTGGATTCCAATCGACTTAAGAGTAGTGTGCTTTCCTATTTTTGATGCACGTTCTAGGATATAATTTCCTCAATTCTGGGTACATAAAGATGTTGAAGTTTACTCTATTATCTTGAAAGAGGATAATAAAGCTTGAGATTTGTTATTTATCAAAGAGAGTTATTTCATATTCTATTATTAATCACTTATGAAATTCAGATTTTTGATGAATATATGAACTTGAGACATATTTGCACTGAATGGGATCTGAGATTGAATGGTTAAGATTTCAGCGTGCAATTTTTTATTTTTTATTTTATAATTCTTAATAAATTTAAAAATGTATAATCGATGTTATGACTCTTTTTAGAATGCTAATTTATTCCCTAAAAAGCTTACACATCATTTTTTAAAACTTTATGTACACATGATCTCTTTCTCTTTGCTCTAGCACCTACTCTCTCTCTCTTTCTCTAATTTATTAGCTATTTAAATTTTTTCTTCTTGAATTGGTAAGATTTCAAAACTTTTTACAAGTACACTATATTTTAATTTGTAGATTCACAATATTTTTGGATAAACGAAAACTCCACATTCACAGTAGTCAGTAGGAGGAGTAAATATTTTTCATTCAATTTTACCCAAAGGTATTTTTTTATTTATATTTCTAGATTATTTTTTTTAAAAAAAGATCTATGATGTTTCGTTTTAAAAAAAAAAATTATTGATATAAATTTTGTTTGTAGTCTAATAGTTCAAATGTTTTTATCATACTTAAAAAATATTTATTTATTCAAATATTGTAATTTTTATCAAATTATTATATTTTTTTATTTAAATTAAAAATCTCCAATATTTTATTTATATAATACCTAATTATAATTTCCATTTTGAATTGCATATTTATTGTGCTTTTCATATTGATAAACTATACACATTAAAATATTAAAAACATTTTCTTAAAAAAAACAACAATATTAGGGGTAGCAAAAAAGTGAATGGGGATGGAGTTACAAGGCGTGGAATAGTGTTCATATTAGAGATATCATATAAGTTAAGACGGATATTATTTTGAAGGCAAAAACTGCCAACAATTTTCTCTCTTTAGTTAGTTTTTTCAATTTATATATGTGGAAACAGAACTCCACTTGTCCTTGTATTTTGGCGTGTGTAATTTTAGTCATGCGATATAAAATCATAATATGAAATCATGAGATGGAATTGAAATTTTTATTTGGACACGCGATTTGAAATTTTGTGTTGTATATTTTCTCATAAACATAAAAATCACACAAGCTGTAAAACTATTAAAATAATTCAAATTATTTATTCAATCTTACGAATTAACAAAAATTTATAAAATCGCATAATAAATTATTACAAAATCATTGTGGTGAGTCTTGTTCAATCAATATAGATGAAAAAATATATTTTAGTTAAACATTAGAGTAGTAGTAATAAATTTGATAAAAAAATAATGAATTTGATCTATATAAATGATAAAGTGGGAATGGATTTAAAGTAATAATAAATTTTATGTTGGTGAAAATAATAAATTTTAAAAAGTAGTGATATAATTATAAATTTTATTTACATATGAAATAAATGACTAATAGATATAAATGTGGGGTTGTTTTAACAAAATATAAACTTGTAGGTCAATTTTTGTATTTAAAAAATCTCAAATCATGATATGAAATTCCCAAATCATGATTTTTGAAGAATATGAGATGAAATCAGCGTAAAATCTCATGTCCAACTATTGAGTTCATCTCATAATTTTATATCGTGATATGATACCGCATTATCAAACGTACTTAGTTTGATGTAATTTTGAACCACCAAAAAAAAAGTTTGGTGTAATTCAAATTTATAGGGATGAAATGTACTAGTCAATTTTTACGGCCCGCAAAATCTCAATTTTTAGAGCTATCAAATCTTTTGTATTTATTACATTAGAAATCTATGACAAAAGGAAGAAAAATAACTTCCTAAAATCATGATATGAACCTACAAAATCTAAATGAAAATAACAAAGCGCCACTTTACATCCTATATACCAAACACACATATTGAATGCACAATATAAACTAACTCCTCCTATCCACAGAGAAATCCAAGAGAAGCAAAAAAATGGAAGTTGCTAATGTTCTTCACATGACTGAAGGAATTGGAGACTGTAGCTATGCAAAAAATTCTCTGTTTCAGGTATCATCACACAACTTTTTTAATTTTCGTAAATCAAATGAATCGCAGTAGAATTAAAAAAAATAATTCAAATTTTGATAATTTACCTTTGAATTATATATATATGTCCAGCAAAAGGTGATCCTCATGACAAAGTCAATAACAGACGAAGCTATATCTGCTTTGTACCGCAGCCTTTCAACAGGAGAAACCATATGTATTGCGGAGTTAGGTTGTTCCTCTGGACCTAACACTTTCTTGCCAGTTTCCCAACTCATTCAAACTATTCGAGAAGAATGTACAAGCAATGGCCAACAATTACCCGAATTTCATGTTTTCTTGAATGATCTTCCGGGCAATGATTTTAATACCATTTTTCGATTGTTGCCAACATTCCACGAAGATTTGAAAAAACAGAACATGAGATCAGGAGATGGATTATTATTTGATCCTCCAAATTGCTTTGTTGCAGGAGTTGCTGGTTCATTCTATACTAGACTTTTTCCTTCCAAAAAACTACATTTTGTCCACTCTTCTTACAGTCTTCACTGGCTTTCTCAGGTATGCTTACGGGACAAAATCAAACTCAACTTGGTTAAGTTTGGGTTGGTTATTGACCCGCCCATTTCAATCCAACCCATTAAAAATGGGTTGATATGTAACCCGAATTGGCATATGACAAATCTTGTCAAAATATTTCTAAAAAACTTTTTTTTTTTCAATTGGATATGTTATATATAGTTATAATAAAAATAACAATTTTATTAGGTACTAAAATAGTTTAAAAGAACAAATAAAACAATTAAGATTAGTAAAAATTGGATTGAGTTGGGTCTTGACCCTTTTATATAACCCGTTACCTAACCCATTTTGACCCAAGCAAATTTGGGTTGGGTTGGGTTGGGTCTTGACCTAATTATTGTATTAACCTATTATAACTCGCAAAAATTTAACCCAACCCACCCAATTGACACACCTAGGTATGTTTCATGCACACACATGTATAGATTTTTAATTACATTATATATATATATATATCAAGCACTAAATGCATTTTTATTTATCGAGCTCACTCCTCAGATTCCACTTGTGAAATTAGACTGATGTTAGGTATTTATATATATGTTGTTATCGTATTTAATTTAGAAAGAAAATGATATAATACTTATTTCAGGTAGCTGACTTTAGCTAGGTACGTTTTGGATGATATATAGGTGCCTGATGGAATTGAGAATAACAAAGGAACTATTTATGCAGCAAGTACAAGCCCATCAAGCGTCCTCAAAGCATATTCCAAGCAATATGAAAGAGATTTTGCTACTTTTCTCAAGTATCGCTCGGAAGAATTGGTGGAAGGTGGGCGTATGGTATTAACCATGCCTGGTAGAGAAAATGAGCATCACTTAAGCAATGTGTGTCGCTTTATGTTGGAGCCTTTGGCCATCGCGCTCAAAGACTTGGTTACAGAGGTACGTAAAACCAAATTATAAGTACTCATGTTGAAATTTGAACATATGTCATGACATTTCTACGACTATAAATTAAATACAGGGATTGATAGAAGAAGAGAAAGTGAATTCATTCAACTTTCCGTTGTACTGTCCATCTCCTGCAGAAATTAAGTATATAGTTGAGAAGGAGGGATCTTTCACCATTGATCTGTTGAAAACTTTAGAACATCAAATGGATTTTAGTTGTGAAGGTTACAATGAGGCACAGAGTGTAAGAGTTGTTGGTCAACCTTTACTTGTTAGGCATTTTGGTGATGATGATAAATTGATGGATGTTGTGTTTAATAAGTGTAGTGACATTTATGCCAATATTATGGCCAATGAGAAGAATATTTTCACAAATGTCATAGTATCTTTGATTAAAAGGAACGACTAGTGTAATACCCTTAGCCCTATTTATATATATATATGTTTGTACTTTTTAAGTTTTAATAATCACTTTTCATGTAATAATACTCCTATATTTTATAAGAGATCAATGATAATTAATGAAGTATTTGTGCACTGAGGTTTTTTTCTTTTGTTTTCGAGTGTTGTGTAAGGGTCAATTTCCTCTTCTTCGTATTTAGGAAGCATAGTATATATCTTATTCTTTATTTTTTTATCATCATGTTGCTTCATTTGCTCTATGTATTATGTAATATATTGTGATGTTGTTAGTTTTCTTTCGAACCATGTTTTGATTACATTTTTTGAGTCTATTAAAAATAACTTTTCTATCTCACACGATAAGAATAATGTATGCATACATCATATATCCTCTTTAAACACTACTTATAGAATTACACTGAGTATGTTATTATTCTTTTGATATCAACATTTCTGTTCTCTTAGTATTTTGAGCTTCTTTCTCCTTTCTTATTTTTTGTATCTCAAAAACCAACTTATTCTAGCATATAGTATATGAAAGTTGCTTATATATATCCTTACCGTTGTACAAATGGTTCATATATACCCCTAACGTTACAAAAGTCACTCACATATACCCTTCATCTTTTAAAAAAAAAAAACAAATCATGTAGGGGTATATATGATCCTTCTAGCAAAGTTCAAAGTATACTTTAATCATTTTCATACATAAATTATTTTTTGACTTCTTTGATTATCATTATTTGAGTTTCTTATTCTTATTTCCCCCCATTATTTAGTGTAAAGAAAACAAATTCAAACTAATTTTTTGTGATTATATTATAATTTAAAACTATTTTTTGGTGGCTACATTGTATTTTAGTTTTTGTATTTGTAAAAAAAAATTGGGACATCTATGATAAATTTTACAAGAAATTTAGTGAACATAAATAAATTTGACCATCAAAATAATAAATCATTGAAACAAAAAAGTGAAAGAAAAAAATAAGTATGAGGGGATCAAATATATATACCCCCATATGGAATTATATTTTTTCAAAGAAAATTAATTTAAAATTAATTTTTTTCTTCCGTTAGAGGAAAAGAGTATATGTGAGTCATTTGTATAACCGTATGAGCAGTGGCGGAGCTAGAATTTTTAACAAGGGGTTTCAAAATCTGAAGAAGTAAACACACGAACTTGCCGAAGGGGGTTCGACATATACAATATATACATAAAAATAGTTTTAACCATGTATAAATAATAATATTTTCCGCCGAAGGAGATTTGGATGAACCCCTTAATAATATGCTGGCTCCTCCCTTGCATAAGAGTATATATGAGCCACTTTCATATCGAGAAATATATCAACTTTAAATAGCAAAGTTAAGGAGTATATCAAACTATTTCCCCTTAGTATATTAACATAATATCATAAAAAAAAATGGTTTATTTCTTCAAAAAAAAAATACTACTACTCAGTGAAAACCACATATAGTATATCATATATAGACAAGATACATCATTATATTGACAAAGTACATCATGTGTCATATGCATTCCTTCAAAAAAACAATACTCAATTTTCTATGATATCTCACATGGTATATATCGTATACACATATGGTCTTCATTCATAAAATGATTGTCCAGTCATCTATAATATCCACATGATATATATCATATACATCATTATATTGACAAAATATCATAGAAGATTAATTTGTAGTTATGATCATGTTGACCTCATGCGCGGAAAAAGAAGGCATGAGCAGGCCTAGTAATTACTTTGGGCCGAGTGTGTGTTTGCTAAATTAATCAAGAATCAATGAGTGAGTCAATTAATGTAATTAATTTGCTTATATGAAGTAGTATGTTTGTGTACTTTTCCCTTTTGGGGGAGTAATTACCCAAGTTATTGTTGTTGACTTGTTGTTACTCATCTGTTAAATAATATTTATTCATTATTAACTTTGCACACTTCTTAAGAAATTATAAATAGAGGAGTAATTTTACTATATCACCTTTTGAATAAAATAAATACAATGTCTTAAAAAAATACTCCCTTTGTCCCCTTTTACTTGTCAAATTTTGACTTGACACACTTATTAAGAAAATATTGATTGATATAGTGAGTTTATCATTTTATCCCTATTTATTGATAGGATTTCAAATATCTTTACTTACTACATTATTCAAAGAGATTAATAAATTGAGGGTATAATAGGTAAAAAAAAAAAAAATTGTCCTTAAAAATCGAGGGAGTATGATTTATGTGTGTATTTGGAAATTGCAGAGTCCAATAACATACTTTTAGATAGATATAATCATATAAATATCGAACATTCCACATGATGAATACATATAAACCTTGCTACAATTTGGCACAAATTTGGGGTTTAAAAGAAACAGTCTTGTTGTCAAGATCATAGGCAACAAAGAAATTTGTTTGTGCTATATTCCCAAATATAGGCAAATGTTTTGCTGGAGCAAAAGCAAGGCAAATAACGTCATTTCCGATATTAACAAAATTATTTAACGCCTCCAACTCCAACTTTGCATTTTGAAATTCAAATATCACTGGTGGAATATCTGAAACACGCAATCCTTGATAGCACAATTGCAAGAATCGTGTTGTGTTGCTTCTTAGAGGCTTCAATTTTATTTCGCGCTTCATTATCGTCTCCATCTCTGAATACATATGTGTTGGTAAAAAAGTAAATGTAGTTCCCGAATCTATAGCAATCTTCCCTCCCTTGTGAACTTTTTTTGATGTGTTATGAAATCGAATTGTTGTATTCCCAATGGTAATTCCTAATAACTTTAGGAAATAATAAACTTTTGGGGGTTTTAAAAATAATGGGGTTGTAACCATATGTTTAGTTGAAGAAATTAAAGCTTCATTTTCACCAAAATTCAATCTGCTTGACACATTTAATTGGAAAAATGGGACTAAACAATATGAAAATTTATGCCCAAATTTAGATTTAATTTGGGACACAAGTGAATAAGGTGAAGCACCAAGACCAATAATTCCAGCTGGTTCAACATCAAGTGTAGTGATATCATTCATCCATCCACAACCAAAAGTTATGTTGGACATAGACAATCTGATTGGACGACTAATATTTGTTGCATCATCAAATGTGAATGTCTCACTTGCTAGATCACCATAACTGTACGATTCATCATTATATCGAGCAGAATATAAACATGTATTTTTCCTCGTATAACAAGAGCCTCCTGGAAGACTCATGCATTCAGTAGAGTCACAAGAAATTGGTCTATACGTAGACGAATTTTGTGGATTAAAAATTGGAGTTTGTTGTTCGTAGCAATGGACACAAGGTTCACATTGTATCCATATAAGATCACTACCGGTGTCAACAGCAACTAGTTTGGCACTTGGTTTAGTGCCAATTGAAATTTTTGTGAGATATACTCCGTGTATATCAGGAATTATAGAAGTTGATAATTTAGACCATAAAAAACTTGCCCGATTGATGGAATGTTGTAACGCGTTGTACATTAGTTGCCTTTGATTTAAGGCAGGGTTATAGAATGGCGATTTTGGTGAATCGCGATGAATGAGTTCAATGCTAAAACCATCATTTTTGGATTGCGCAAAATAAGAGAGACTTGCAAGATAGAGTAAGATGAAATAATGGAGTTTCATGATTATTATTTTTTCTGAGATGGAGTTTCAAAAATCTCACACAGGTTTAATTTATATATAAAAAAGAAAGTGTAGATACAAATTTATGACTTGTTAATTGTGGTCTAGTCCAACATTAATTAAATTTTCCTTCATAGTTAATTTTACAGTTTTTATGTTGACTCGTCTTAGTGTCAATTATTGCATGGATTAGTTCATATTGAAAATGTATCTAATTCAGATTACACAAATCAATGAAATTTGATAATCTTCTCCTCATATTAATAAGGTGAGCCCATCTTATTGCTATTGGGAAAAAAGGGCCCAACTTATAAATCGGTTTTTTAACTTGGTTAAAATGTGAGTATATATATAGTGAAAAATGCTTTTCAATTTTTATCTATTTATGTTTGATTGATAAAATATATATATATTTTTAGGAAAATAAGTTTCTTTAGAAATGACAAGATTGAGAAGGTTGCTCATATGGTAAGCATCTGCCACCTTCAAATATGAGATTAAGAGTTCGAGTCAACAAGGGAACTACTAGAATTCTTGATGTGTATTGAGCCGGAACAACTAGTTCTTCCTAAATATTCTGATTTAAGGCTAAAGAATTTCCTGCTGCTACCATATAGAATTCATCACTACCTGGTGATAAATAAAGCATTCGTACCCCGATTGACCTCTCAGAAATTAAAAAGGGCTTTCTAGAGATCGTCAATGACCAATCTCCGCATGAATTGCTAAGGATCCAATAAGTCCAACATTGACTCTTTCAGATGTATCAATTAGGCAAATACGTCCATAATGGCTCATATAGATATCTCGTATCCGAAAACTAGCAGTGCGACTTGTTAGTCCTCGAAGGCCCAAAGGGGAACTTACATAAATCTCACTAATTTAGGAGCTAATTACTTAGATACACTCTAATATGCAATGTGTCACGCTCCGAGCCTACACCCCGGACGTGGCTGGCACTCGAGAACCATTATTGGCCCCAAGCGAACCCTTGGTCTGACTTACTTACTCAACGGAAGACTTAAACACAAGGAATAGTCTAAAAAGGAACTTATGAAATAACTTAGAATGTCTTTAAGTAAACATTCAAACTTAGCCAAAATGGCAACCTCAAGTCTCAAAAACATAAGCCAATAATAAAGCAGTGACAAATGAATTTAACTAACTGACTGTCTGTCTATGAAGCCTATAAACAACTGAGATGGATGTCGAGACAGACCCACGACATCCTAATTAACTAATAATAAAACTAAAAGCAATAAAAAGGGATCCTCCGGAAGAAAGGAGGCTCACCACAAGACTCTGAGTGCTCAAACTGGATCAACGAAGCGCTGGATGCTAATCATGGTTACATGCGTCTGCATCATAATATGATGCAGGTCAACTGACATCAGTACATTGAATGTATGAGTATGCAAGTTGGAATGCTAAACACAACTTAAGCTTGAAAAAATATGAAAGGAACACTTACCTTGGCTTTACTCAACTCCTGAATAACTTAACTCAATATAAAGCAATAAACATATGCAATATATAGAAAGCTTGTAAAACAGTGGAAAACAACTTAGTTCGTTAAAGAAAATGCAATAATAAACTCAACTTTACTCATATAATAAAGTAATATAGTTTCTGTGGGAGATTCTCTAACCGACAACTACCACTATGAGCCTAAGTGGTGATACAACGTCTTGCCCACGCTGCTAGAACTGTCATATACTTTGCCGTCATATAGAACTCTTAACTTAGTGGATCCACTAGCTTATGCTAAAAGCATCTTAAGGAGTCATCTAAAAAGTATGAGCATTTATTACCCATGAAGGCTACATGGTTTATGGAGACTTAAGCTAATATGAACTCGCATTCCTATATCGTGTTCAATACTACTCCCAAAATATACTTAGCTCATATGTTTTTAAAACAAACTTCTTTCTTTGATTTGAGATAATTACTCGAAAATTTAGCTTAAAAACTCTCTTTGAATCGATGTTCCCTTTCTTGCTCAAATGTGAAAACATTTTAAACTCTTTGGGAATACATAGTCCCCATATACTTCTTTGAAGAAATGAACTTCAAATCTTTATTATTTGCTTAACTTAAAACTTAAATCTTAGAACAAAGTTAAAACGTTTGTGAAAGACTTTTGAAAACTTTGAAGAACTTCTCTTGACTTGCTCTTCACTTCTAACTTGACTCTTTAACTTTCCTTGAATCGAATTATGGATTCAAGAACTGTGATTTGTGATAGGAAAGATCTCATGATGTTTAGAAAGGATTTTAGACAGCTAAACATGAGAAAAAATAAAAATTTCACTGTTTGAGGGTGGGTCGCGACGCGGAGAAGCATTTAAATTTTGGTTTTGAAAATAACTTTTGAGGTAGAACGGTCCGTAACCGCTCCGCGACACGAAAAGACTTTTCCCAAAATTGGGAACTAGCTCCGCAAACGGAGGCACTGCCAAATTTCGATCGACGAAATTTCTTCTTCGTTTTCCAACTCTAAATCCTCTAGACTGCATTGGGTTCTTTCCCCAAACACTTAGAATCAATTATATGTTCAAAGTACATCAGATTCTACTCAAAATCAAACCAAAAATCACGGGTTCGGATCAAACAACTCCTCAATGATTTCAACGAATCAAGAATTTAATAGAATTTCAACAAACCCATTAAGAACTCAATTTCTAAGCTTTCAAGAACTTAAATTCGCTGAAATAAATCATGATTGACGCGTGGGTGAACTAACCCAATGCTATGTGATCTCACATACCTTTTAGGGATCACCCCCGACGAAATCCACAAGTTATCCTTGACGAAATCGACGAATCTTGAACGTTCTTCTCCTTTCTCCTCTTTTCTCCTCTTCTCCAAGCCCTAGCGTATTTTGGTAAAAGTGTAAACTGATCTAATTCTGATTAGACCCTAACTTAATTACCAAAAACGAAATAACATAATTAGGCAAAGAAAAGACCAAACTACCCTTTAAATATCCGGATTGGACTTTCCTAATTCCAACAACCCAACTTCCAAAGGGAATAACTCACTCATACGAACTCGGAATCGCACAAACTCAGCGGCGTTGGAAATATCATTCCAAGAGCTTCCTACCATATCTGGAAGTACACCTAACTCATCTTATAATTGGGTGGGGTTTAATTAGTAATGGGTGGGTAGTGGGTTGGTTTATAAATTATATTAATAAATTAAATTATAACCAATAGTTGAGCACCAAGTATTTAAAAAAAATATTTAAATAGTTTAAATTTAAAACCGTTAAATAAGTGGTCAATTTTGAACCCAATGGTGGATGAGAAGGGTATTTTGGAGTCAATAGGTTGATGGAAAGGGTATTTTGGAGCCAATAGGTGGATGAGGGGTAATTTTGTACCATTTCCAATACTTTGAGGGTATTTTAGGCCATTTTCCGTAGAAAAAAAGAATATGGAGTGTTTTTTTGTTGTAAATGTTCCTACATTAATAAAATATTTATGTGTAATAAATTAAGTAATTTACTTTTATAATACAATAATTAATTTGAATTAATAAAAAGTCAAAGAAGAAAAGAAAAAAAGATAAACTATGTTTCTCCTTTATTATAAGTGAGACAAACCAATAATAATAATAAAAAGAATGTGAAGAGCTTTGTTGTAAATGTTCCTCCATTAATAAAATATTTATTTGTAATAAATTTATTAATTTATTTTTACAATATAATAATTAATTTAATTTTTTTTAAAAGCCAAAAAAAATGAGAAAAAGGATAAATGCAAATGGAGGCCATAGAGAGATGCCACATTATCTTGTCTATGTTTCTCCTTTATTATATATATATATATATATATATATATTTTATTTTATTTTTTTTACTTAAGTAAATGCAAAGTTTCTAATTGTAAAATTATTTATATATGTAAGGCAGATTCACCTTATAGTTAAATGGTTTTACGCGACACCATTTCATCGAAAAATCTTACGAAATATAAGCAACTATTTCAATTATTGGATGTATTAGTTAATTTCGAATTTTTTTGTTGACTCGTCTTAGTTTCAATTATTGCATGAATTAGTTCATACTGAAAAAGCATCCAGTGGCAAATTACATATATCTATGAAATTTGATAATCTTCTCATAGTAATAAGGTGAGCGGATCTTATTGCGGTTGGCAAAAAAAAAGTCCAACTTATAAACTATTTTGTAATTAGGTTATAATGTAAGGATATATATTGAAAAATATATTTTTTTTTCAATTTTTTTTTAATGTTTGATTGATTAAAATATTTTGGAATATTTTTGTTTGAGAAAAAACTAGTTTCTTTAAGAAAAAGGAAAATGACAAGACGGGTTGGTAAGATCATGGTAAGCAACTTTCACCTCTAATCCTACCGTTGTTGGGTTCAAGTCACTAAGTGAGCAAAAAAGGTGGGAGCTTTTATAAAAATAAATCACAAGACTTGTGATTAATTTTTTTGGAGGATCTTAGTAGTTCGATTAGTTTGCTAAAATTAGAACTTTCACTTTATTGGTGAGGACTCAATTTTCACCTGGTAACTCCCTCTATCCCCAATATAATTTTTAAAAAATTAAGAAAAATATGTAAAAATAAAAAAATAAAAAAAAGACTTCATAAATGAAAATAGAAAAAACAAGTTTCATAAGTGACATTCCACGTTCATTATCTCTTGATCCTCCCCACCCACCCAAAGCCCTCAACACCCATCCCTTGACCATCTCCCCCACCCCTATCGCGCCTCTCCCAAACCTTATGTTATAGGGGATCGAATATGGAATAAAAATGCAGGTATTATTTTTCTTAGTGAATAAGCAAATTTTATTTATTACCAAGTGATCGACAGTTACAAAATATAGGGAGGAGCTAAGCAACACACCACACATATAGATGTAAAATAGTAGCAAATGCATTACGTTTCGTATCAAAATGTGAAGTTTCTTGCATAAGATCAGTTTCTCATTTTAATTTTAACTATTAAATGCTAGTTAATTT